GCTTACATGTTGTTTGTCAAATTAAGAGGTCATCATTTTCAAAGCATTTGGCCCTTGTCCATGTGTGAGTGAGGATGACATGATGATGTTTTCAGTGGTGTATAGCGCCCTCTATTGTTACACTTCTTGTGGGCAACAAGTACAGAACCAGAACAGGAAAGAAGGACTCTAGGTCGTAAACTTCTGATGCACGGTCAGACATTTTCTTTTACCTTTGGTTCTTTCTGTTGTTAATAAACTGCTGATTCGACCAGGCAGTACAAAGTGAAAAGACATGAGCACCACACTGCACACACCTGAGTGACCATGGCAATGCTGTCTGCTACACCGGTTCAGATATGTTCTTCAAAGCCTTTTCTTTTAAAACCAGTCTTATTCTTGTGAAGATGAGAAGATTGCTATTTTATTTTTTATTATTTTTATGTTATACACAGAGGAAAATGACTGTAATAATTAAGTAGTCCAGCGCCTCATTTTGATTGGATGATTAAATGTTTACATCTTTAGCACAATGTGCCAAAGTTTTCCTTCCTGTTTTCTCTGTGTGAGGAAGAATGAGAAGGGGTAAAAGTCTTTGGAAATGCAGAATGAGTAGCAACAGAGAAATCATTGCACATTTGCATATAGTATATGTTGTGTATCTGATTCTTCTTCCCAGTCTTAGTTAAACCTGCAGGGCACGCTGGGGGGAGGACGCCTCTTAGCTGCTGATCTGGTGTCAGTCTTGTGACAAACATGGGGTACAAAGTTGACAGTTTCCTTATTTGATGTCTTAAAATTGTCTGCAAAACATCTCCTCAAAGAGATGAATATTGTCAATCTTGCAGGCATCTTTATTAGCATTAAAAGGGGGGCATATAACTGAACACCAGTCACCGCACAAGACCGTCTTCCCCACTGAGCCAGTAGGACTTTATTCATACTCACTGTGTTTTGAAGGGAAACAATCAACAGCTTTATCTGATGGCGTTTAACAAGAGGGGAGGTGCAAAAGGTCAAGCTTTGTGTTCTCTCAGCTTTTCCCTCAAACAGGGAGCAGAGTTATGCCGTGATTTGTCCTAACAAGAGGGATGTCTTCCCCCTTCAGCCCACCTCAAATCCCCTCTTAGGATTAACCGAAGAAGAGCCCTCTCTTATATGTGAAAAGCCCTGCTGAGACATCCAGCTCAGGACTGCTTAAGCTCCTCCATCTTTCGCTACGAGTGACAGTCACAGTGTGTGTGTGTGTGTGTGAGTCAGGGCATCAGAGGGGTTTAACGCGCACATAAGACAAATTTCTCATCAGCCAGAAATGAGAGATAAAAGGTGAACTGGTAATCAATGAACTATTTGGGATGATGACGTGCTTTCTAATAGGAGTGTGGCTTTATTGAATGAAAGTGGTGGGTGACATGGCGCGAAGGGGTCACACATGTAAAAGTGTATATTTTTGTATATACCTACATCAGTGTGTGTACAGTATGTACATATATACACAGTGTACTCAGCCGCGGTTCCTAGTTTTGTTGTCAGACTGTACAGCGCTTCTAACTGTCCCCTGTTTTATAGATACTGCAGAAATTCAACTTTGAATGAGGAGAAATGATTAACTTAAATAAATGCATTTATATATATAAACTAAACGGTGTCGAATATTTTGGTCCGCTTCAGGGGTCGATGTTAAGAGCTCACAACAGATACAGTTAGCACCAACACAAACAGTCAGAGTATACTGACCTTTCTATTGCAGTCTCCACATTGATGCAGCTGTGGGACTGGACCTATCTACAGGAACCTTCACTGTTCGAGGATGGACATTGTTTTTATATGTGTTCTGACACTTAAATATTTAAAGAAGGAGCTTTTTCCATTCATCAGTTGAATGTTACCACTCTGGTTTGGGTCTTATATTGAGTGAAACCATCCATCTGCTGTGCAATAAGGCAGCATTTTTGGGCAGAATAATTACAATAAAAGTCCTTGTAGACCTTTCTGAGATTCAGAATACTTTGTTGATCCCTGAGGGGAAGTTGGGAGACATTGCAGATGGTCTTATACTAGAGAAATTATAAGAAAATAGAAGTAGACATAAGAAGTGTGCAAGAAAAAAACTGAAAAGGGCAGTGTACTACAATATATAAATATGTATATAAGGAAGGAGGATATATTGTGTAAGAAATAGAAATATATAAAATATGTACCAATATGTGCATCCTACTATGAGTGTACTCAATATAAATGCAAAAGTAGAATAGGTAAGAACTGCAAAAAGAATGTATTGTACAGTTGAGTTATTATTGCACAATAATGTAGAGGCCTTCAAGTCAGTCTTGCATTTGTACAGTTTTTAAATTGAAACAGTCAAATACTGCACATTTATTGGATTAATTACATGTTGTAGTCCCAATAATCACACAATATGTGGCACAAATGTCCTGTAAAACTAATCTACACTAAAAAGTGAATCGTGGGGTTAGTGGATACGCTTAAAACGAAGAACTTTTTCAGCATAAAATAATGTTTGTTTCATTAACTAGTTTAAGTCAACTGACAACTTGTTTTAATAAGCTGATCAAAATCTAAAACACATTTGACACTCTTGAGTAGTATGGAATTGAAATAAGTTAGTTAGAATATCTTTCTTTTTTTATGTATAAAAACCAATGTATAGACTCCAGGACTGGGTACCTGCATTCCATCCTTTTTGTGTCCAAATCTAAAAAATGAACATATCTATGGTATATGGTTTTGCTCACAGCCAGTCACAGCAGGTGTTCTTTGAACTGAAATAAATGAGTTAGAATATCTTAAATAAGATAGTTGACCACCAACTATCACCACAACTTTTGGATAAATATCGAATTGATTCCATTTGATAAAGATTTTTGGGGTCAAACCAAATCATGTTGGTTGAACTAAGTTAATTGGATTTGTCTGATTGTAAAAAACTCACGGGATTTACTTATTTATTTGGATTAGAACTACTTAAAATGACGCATGCAATTTTTTACCTTAATTTTCTCAAGTTTAACCAGTGGATTCCTTTTTAAAGTCTACATGTCTGCTAAGCCTCAAATTTCAGAACAATGCAGATGGGTAATAATCCCTCCGGCAGAGGCAGGTTACTGGGCCAAAAGTAATAAGGTTGATGTGGTGACACATTTATAATGAAATGTGCGTGATATGGATACACACTTGAGGCATTTGGGACAAGAAGACATCCTAAATTATATTTTATAAGAACTGGAGAACACAGTTGTGGTTCTGAACGGAGTCATTTTTTTCTTCTGAGATTCCTCAACATGAAAAAGAAAAGTGTGTGAACACCACTACATGTGATTGTAGAAAGGTTTTCCAAAAAACTTTGAAACGCGGCTGCAGAGATTTGCACGCATTCAGTCGCAGGTGCACTGAGGTTGGACACTGATGTTGGATGATACTGTGAGGAGGAGTAAGGCAAGCATCATGTAAAGTATAGGACATGTTCAATGTTAAGCAGACTGTCAGTGCAGGCAGTGATAACATGACATCATGTAACATTACAGAAAACAGAATAGGTCAAACCAGAGGGGACATGATCTCACAAACAAAGACAAAAAGCTGAACAAATGAGAGCAGACAAGCAAGTATATAATTAATGACTGAAATTAAGAATGATTATCAGAGCAGACAGCTACAGCGCATCTGTTCACCACAGAGTCCATCAGTCAGTGATGAAAGTAGTATTCAGATCTATTGCTTAGGTAAATGCAGTAATCCAAAAGTGCTGGAATACTATCATACAACAAAATTTAAGGAAAGTACCAAAAATAAAAGTACTCATTATGTAAAATGGTCCATCTTAGAATCATAATTGTTTGCTACTAACTGATGCATTAGTGTACATCTATTTGGTGTTGCAGCAGTTAAATGTGGGTTGATTTTAACTAGTGTATAAACTGCTGGGTTGCTTAATCCATCATAACATATAATAATTTATCTGTTGATTATATTTTCTGAATTTAAATTTGCAGAGTAACTACAGCTGTTAATAAATGTAGTGGAGTGAAAAGTAAATTATTTGCATCTAAAATGTAGACGAGTAGCGTAACATAGAAATACTGTGGTAATGTACAAGGACTGCAAAATTGCACATGGTACTTTCCATCACTGCCTTCAGTTCATGTTGTTTATTACTGAAATTTACACATACTGTATACTGCACACCAAAGTTATTGTAGTTATGTATTTTTCATTTGTTTTTTATTTTTATTTCATTTTAAATATTTGTTTTCAATTTAGTTTAGTTTCAGTTAGTTGGGTTTCTCATTTCAGTCTATTTTCATTGTTTAAAAATGTTTATTTTTAGTTTAGTGTTGAGGGTTTTTTTTCACTTAAATCTTTTAAATTTTAAATATTTTTTTGACATTGACATGTAGGTACAACAGTATAGTAAAATAATAAAATAACTGAAAATAATATAGGCTAATAACAATAATAATGCTTGGGTAGATACACATTTTTTACAGCCTCGTGGATTAGTGTATCGACTGATTATTACTCTTTTGTGAATTTTAGTATCAGTTTTGTTTATTTTTTTTTTTATTATAATATGGGGCAGGGGCAAGATTTAAGAAATAAGAAATCAGCATAGGTATTACTATAGAAACACAATACCCTGAGCAGGCAACAGCCATGTAGACATCCCAGTCTTAATAAAGATATGCACCAATGACAAATTAACAGACTAAAATTAGAGATATGTCTTGTATACCTGCAGGGTCTAACTACTAATATAAATATTTATTTTATTTTTTATTTTACCTAGTTTTAATAATATCCATATAGTTTCCGTTGGTTCAGTCTAATTTTTAATATTTAATTATATTTTTATTTATTTATTGTATTTATTTTTTAAAATGTTTTTTCACGTCTAGTTTTGCTTTTTAGTTTAGTTATATTTAATTTTAATAACCTAGGTGGACACTAGTTGCCGGCCTGTGCCGTCGCCTCTCCAGCAGGGGGCGATGAGAGTCACACGGGACACACACAGGGGACCGGGGAAGAAGACGGGTCTCTGGCAGAAGCTGATTAGAGCCAGCAGTCAGCACACACAAGTGGTGGTCGGTAGGATCTGACAGGAGAACCGTAAACAGAAGAAACCATGAAGAACGAAGGTATAGAGGGGACGGAGAGGTTCCTGAGCCCGGACCGCGGCAGAGGCCTGCGGGCGGTGAGGCACTTCGCGGTGGGGGAGCTGGTGTTCGCCTGCCCTGCCTACTCGTACGTGCTGACAGTGAATGAGAGGGGAGCGCACTGTGAGCACTGCTTCACCAGGTAACATCTTACCTCTGGAAAACAGCTGATAAAACACCTCAGCGACAGTTACCTCCAGGCTGGTGTTTATTTTTAGCCTAGCTTGAAACAGAAACACAGCGCGTGCTGTGTCCAGTTGAACGCTGGCTAACATCTTTACTAAGCTAGGTTAGCTTGTGAACCTCTGGACACCTACCGAGCTGGTGCAGACTTAAATGGGTCAGTGCGGTGAGGCAGCTCACCTGACTGACACTGCAGCATTTGTTTGTAGCACTGCAGAGTCAGGAGAATCTGAAATAGACACTAACATTCACGTACAACAACATTACTGGTAGTTTTAAAGACAGAATTTAGTGTGTCTGCTTTCCTGTACTCTCATTGGGTCTATTTATATGCTAGCATATAATCCTAAATAAGATAATCACAGGTAGTCGGCTCACTTTAAGGAGCATTTCACTACTTTTCAACCTGTCCTTTGTGTCACAGTGTTCACTTTTACACACAAGACTCATCGTTGCTCCTTAAACAGCAGCCTCTATTAAACTACAAATCCCACACATGCCTATATGCACCTAAAAGCCAAGCCGTAGCAAGACGACCTGCAGTCTTCATGATATCAGAGTCTGCCTTTGTTATTCTTAGCTTCAAAGTTTCACTCACTCATCAGCTGAACATGAATTTCAGTCATTTATTGTAGTCTCCTGCTCCAGTAACAGTGTAGGCTGTGGAGTGGCTGGAAAGTGCAGCCTACAACATGCACAGAGTATTGACATGTGTGGGTGTGTGTAGGCATACTGTGTCAAAAACATCAAATCAGGTTAAACTGCAGTGCACTGCACCTTCAAAGTTCAGCCCTTTATCTTGCCTACTTGTCCTGTTTGAGATCTGATGGCACTCTTTATGAAACTTCTAAGAGTTAAATGAACTCTCACCCTCACCCTCACCCTTTCATTCACACATGCGTCCTACCCAGGCTGCCATCAAGGTTTATAGAGCAGTAAAAGGTTAGGGTGCTAAATATAGTTGTCCATGTGTCCCCAGAGAGGAGGAGCCAAGCAATGAATGAGAAGGCCAGGGGTGCGTGTGTGTGTGTGTGTGTGTGTGTGTGTGTGTATTTGCTCCTATACAGTCAGAAACACTCTGAATGAGTATGTGTCTTGCTGTAATAGTGATCTTTGATACCTGTTGTTTTACAAAATGACTTATTTTTGCATGAACATAAGCTGGAAATGTCTGTAGAAATGGCTATGAATGTAATTGGAAATTTTATGAATAACAATGAAGTTTATGCAACTAATTCTCTTGGTATTTGAGCTTATGTGTTGAGCATCTGGGCATCCCACGTTTTGTTACAGTGCTACAACAAACCTGCAAGATTGTCTCACTCACCGCTAGTTTAAAGGTATGCTATAAAGGATTTTTATTAAATCCAATGTATAGACTCTCGGGCTGGGTATTGGTACTCAACACCTCAAAAGTAGTGACAGAAATAACCCACTACATAGCAGTAACGAAACTTCCCCAGTCAAACGAAACCTGCATTTGACCCTTTTTGTATCCAGATCTAGAAAAAATTAGTATTTGTATGGTATTGCTCGCAGACAATCTTTAATTGAATGCAACATGTGATTAGTCCACTACTACAGCAGTTACAACCTATATAGTCTGTAGTGTGGTGAAGTCGTGGCCAGTAGACAGAGTTGGCTTCAACGTGCCAAGATGCCACCAAAACATCCACAAGAATGGCTATACTACATGCCTAGGTGGCCTTTCATGCAACTGAATGTTTCCATTCATATGATGGGTATCAAATGAAGTAGACAAAAAAATATATTAAAAAAACACTATTGGTATTGGAATCACTTTAAGGGCACTGGTATTGGTACTGGTAAAATTTTTTAGATAATATTCAGCCCTAATAGGCTCATACAAAAGTAATCCCTCTCAATCATCACTTATGACCCACTAAAAGTGTGTTGCAGTGTGTTTATCTGCAGAGACTCTGCCTATATATTCATATTTTATTTTTATTTTGCTGTGTTTGGGAAGTTCCTGGGCACAGGTGAGGTCAGCTTTTATGAAAGGGTTGCAACCAGGTGCGTGACCTCAAAAAAATCATGGACACAGCGCTGAAAAATTGCAAATACAGTGAGGCGAAACAGCCAAGCCGACAAAGCTCATTCCAAAATGAGAGTGATTCTGGGGTTAGCTTTCACTGTCACTGACGAGCATGTTTAACAGCAACTGAAAATTCCTGCATTATCTACCTTCAACAGTGAATATACCAAGTATTTAAACGTCATGGGGTAAAAACTATATTAGTGAAAAGTCTTTTTACACTGCATTACAATTAGAAGCATCATGTGTCCCAGATGAGGTGTGTTATTTTACAGCTGTAGTGGAGTAACGTGTTGTGTCTTTATGTCATTACAGGAGAGAAGACCTTTTTAAGTGTGGCAAATGTAAGCAGGCCTACTACTGCAACATTGACTGTCAGGTAAGAATGTTCTCTTTTCCTTTTTTGCATTTACAAGGAGGGCCTCTTGTTTCTGTGTGCGATTGATGTGTCCCAGTTTCCACAGTTAACTACAGGAACTGATCGTGACTACATTTTACGCCGAACACAGTAATTTTTGTGGTACTAACTACAAATACCCGTTTTAGTCTTCATTTTCAAATAGAAAGACAAAGAGAACGAGAAAAGGCAGAGACCAAGCCATTTATTGTTGTCAGAAATGTACCAATCGAGCAGGTGACTTTTTTTTCAATCCCTTTGTGCGCATTCACATGTTACCAAAGGATGAGCATTTTGCTTCACTGGCACCAATGACGTAGAGTAAATTTGAAAGAACTTCTTTTATTATTTTTGTGATTCACCCTGAGACCTTGGACTGCACAGTGAGAGCAGCTCCAGCACAGCTCCAAGCAGGCAGCAAGAGATGGAGAGAGCACACGGTCACGCTGCTGTTGCTATGACGATTCGGTCTGTCCTCCCTCTGCCTCTGTCTACTTATAGTTTCATGGCACAAAACACACACTGTGCACTGCAGTAAAACTGGGGAGTTTTCGTTTGTGAGAGAGAGGAGAGATCGATAGATGGATGATTTGCTTTGTGATAATAAAATCATCCATTGTGTTAATTTAATTCTCTCTTTTTCTCTCACATTTCTGCCTTTTGTCTCACATGTGGTGTCCTGTTGAGTGGGATTACTCACTGTAATAATGAGGGGTCACTAACTGTTGCTATTTCTGTCTTTTTCTGTGTGTGTGTTTATGCAGAGAGGCGATTGGTCCATGCATAAGCCGGAGTGTGTAGCTATGTGTGCCTATGGGGAAAACTGGTGTCCATCAGAGACTGTCAGACTGGTGGCTCGAATCATCATGAAACAGGTAAAGTAATAAAATGTGGAGCAGGAACATTTAACATTCAGAGATGACTTTTATATTTAGGGCAACATGGATTTTTCCCCAGGGAATGTTAAACATAACTGCAAGCAAAGGGAGAAAGGATAGATCTATGTGAAATTATACATGATCCTCCTCAGTTTATAATCAATACTGTGAAGAGCTGACAGACAGAAATGTGTGAAAACACATTTTGAAATTTCAGTCATTGGATATTAATGCCTATGACACTGAAAACAAAACTAGAACAAAAATGAAAGCAAAAACTAAATGTTAATTTAAAACTGTAAAAATAACTAGAACTTAAAAGGCGGCCTTAAAAGGCGTTCCCAAGCGCATGTTTTTCAGCTGCACCATGAGATAAGCAAAGTTCAACTTTGGAATGCAGCACCCATAGATATACAAAGAGAACTGGATACAGTGTTGGAGGCGGGGCCCTGTTCATTCCTATTAAAGTTGCTAAGTGGTGCATGAAGTCAAGAAAGTTAGATTTCCTAGGTTTAAAATGACCGGGATTTTCTGCATCACGTTTAGCCGATAGAACAAACACACTACAGACTTCTATCTGCCAAGCAGCCAACTTCCGGTTTAGCCCTCTGCTAACTTGAATGGGAATAAAATGATGTAATTGTGCAGCTCTTCTAGAATTTCAAAATGTTGTCGGACCAAATCCCTAACGAGTCAATTTACGGGTGTTTTGATGCTCAAAAAAATCTCTCCACTGAATTTACAGACATCTTTTTCACAATGTAAGTCTATGGGAAAAAGTCTCAGAAGTTGTTATTTCACTGTTTGGCTACTACGAAAATTGGCTTCAAAGTGCGGCGCACTAAGTTGGGATTTTTGGTGAGAAGGTTGTGGTCACTTAGCAACGTCAGGCGTGGAATTGTTACCCCTCATTTCTGTCTTCAGTCAGACATTGTGTTCGCTCTAACCTCAGGAAGGGGGAATCGATTTTCCCTAACAGATCATTAGAGCCAAACAAATCCACCTGAATAAAATGTCATTTTAAGTCCACACTGATGGGTAGCCATGCTCACATGGTCTGGTTTTGCCAGAGTTTTAAAAGTGGATGGAGCGAAGTAAAAACAAACTACAATGTGAAGACAGTTTGATTTAGAGCAGCCTAAATAGCAGCATCTATCTTTGTTTTTTCCCCTCATTGGTTCCAGTGCACTGTTTGATAACAGCTTGGCAATGGCATTAGTCTTGCCCATGGCGCTGACTGGCTAATTGATATTGCCCCCATCTTGAAAGTTGGTGTAAAAGTAGCACCCAGGGCCCCACCTCGTGCTTTCCAGGCGGTAAAAGACGCAGCAATAGATAATGGCTGCAGCTTATTTGGGTATAGTGCGTGCTTTGTACTACTGTGTCTGACTCACCAGCACTTCTGAAGGGAATGAAGCATCAGTAATGTTATTAGTTACGTGTGATTTTCCTGTTGACTGAAGTGCAAAGAAAACTCAAAAGGACCAGCCAGTATTTGAGAGCTGATGGCTAAAGGATTTGTGTGAGGTTGTGACTGAAAGTCAACACAATTTAAAACCTTAGTTTAAAATACATTAAAAGAAGATAAAGAGTCAAATAATATGCAGTGGCTGGCCTGATAATAAGTAAATGTTATGAGCTAGAACATATTTAATGCAATAAACCAGCCGTGAGCCGCTGGAGCAGCAATGCAATGACTTAACTCATCAGTTTCATTTGTATACTTTTGCATGAGTCATGTCACAGAAGCATCACCACTGTCAGGCTTTGCTATTCAAGTACTGCAGTTCAGAAAGGTGACATCAGCTTTGATCACATTAAACACACTGTGAGTCACATCAAAGCAAACTGTACTCTTACCATGTGAACATAGCCTTGCTGCGTTGTAATGTTACCTCTGTGTTGATGCCACTGAACACCACAGTTCCTGAAGCCATTTGTGCTCAGCTGGCGTTTTATTGTGTTTTAATGTCTTCTTAATTGGCCTGAAAGTCTCTAGCAAAGCCATTAGCTATAATAAAACATAAACACTGAGGAAAGAAAAATAGATTATTTTGTGTTTTATTGTCATGATTTTGCCCATTTTTGACCAAAAATAATTTACATGTTGCAGAAAGTCACAACAGAGCGCACCCCTTCAGAAAGGCTGCTACTGCTCAGTGAATTTGAAGCCCGTAAGTAAGTGTGTGTGTGTGTGTGTGTGTGTGTGTGTGTGTGTGTGTGTGTGTGAATACATGAGCGTGTATGTTTAGTTACATTTGTGTGCACTTTTAGTTACACATTGTGTGATTTTTTTTTTTTTTTTTTTTTTTTTTTCTGTGTCTCTGCAGTTGTAGCAGTGTGTCTATTAATATCCTCTGCTGTAGCCTCCAGTCCTGGTTCTGTCTCTTTTTATTCACTTTAAGTCTGCAGAGCTCGGGGATTTAAATCCCAAGATTCTGGGTGCTGTAATTTCATGTTCTCTCCCCTCCTTTAAAAACTATTGCCACTGTGCCCTTGAGCAAGGTACTCAACCCTCTTCTCTGGTAGACTGTGGCTGAGAAGCTCTAACATGTTAACATATGTGCTCCGTTATGTCAGCCCTTACTTAAATACAACAAAGGAAGCTGAGCTTTGTGGCATCATCAAACACTGTAACTTGATAAAAGAGCGTATTTGTTAGACACTCAAGACGAGACTTTGTTGCATGTAAGTGCTCACAAACTGTCTTCTCTGCTCCACCTGGTATTATCATTTAGTCTGAGCGGTTGTTGCAGGCTCAGATGTGTCATCAGAGGATTGTCACAGAATTAACCTTCACACCTGTCTCTCATGTACACAAAGCAAATCAGTGGCCAGCTGCTGCCTGCTGCCACCTGTCTGTCTGTCTGTGTGTGTGTGTGAGTGTGGGTGTGGGTGGGTGTCTGTGTGGGTGTGACTGACAATGACACATGGCCTACAGCAGTGGGACATTCTACACCTTGTAACACTGAGTGATTCCTATGTGGAGCAACAACCACAAAACACATACTGATAAAATTCTGAATGAATAGTACACTTTATTTTTTATGTCTCGCCTTTATTATGTGTGTGGGTTTTTTTTGTTTGTTTTGTTTTTTCATACCAGCGTGGTCTTCATTTTCCTGTTTAGTAATCCGTCTTCTTTCAAATGAAAGCACTTCCTCAAACACTTAAAGGGACAGTTCAACCCAAAATCAAAAATACATATTTATCCTCTTACCTGTAGAGCTATTTATCAATTTAGATTGTTGTGGTTGTGAGTTGCAGAGTGTTGGAAATCTGTATTGCTCAAAGAAAAAAAAATACATTTGAAAAATTCAACAGCAATGTCTCTCTCCAGAAATCATGACCATTACTCAAAATGCTCTAAAGACCTTGTTGTGAGCAGTGTCACGTTGGAACTTATCTTTCTACTAAACTACACCTGCTAACTGTATCACCACGCAGAAGGTGCATGCATCTACTGCTAGCTCACCTAGCACAACTGAGCTAGCTAATGTCACAGCACAGTAACATTACAGCTCAGTCAAGGAGGATGCCATTACTGTATACAGTACAGGCCAAAAGTTTGGACACACCTTCTCATTCAATGCGTTTTCTTTATTTTCATGACTATTTACATTGTAGATTCTCACTGAAGGCATCAAAACTATGAATGAACACATGTGGAGTTATGTACTTAACAAAAAAGGTGAAATAACTGAAAACATGTTTTATATTCTAGTTTCTTCAAAACAGCCACCCTTTGCTCTGATTACTGCTTTGCACACTCTTGGCATTCTCTCCATGAGCTTCAAGAGGTAGTCACCTGAAATGGTTTCCACTTCACAGGTGTGCCTTATCAGGGTTAATTAGTGGAATTTCTTGCTTTATCAATGGGGTTGGGACCATCAGTTGTGTTGTGCAGAAGTCAGGTTAATACACAGCCGACAGCCCTATTGGACAACTGTTAAAATTCATATTATGGCAAGAACCAATCAGCTAACTAAAGAAAAACGAGTGGCCATCATTACTTTAAGAAATGAAGGTCAGTCAGTCCGGAAAATTGCAAAAACTTTAAATGTGTCCCCAAGTGGAGTCGCAAAAACCATCAAGCGCTACAACGAAACTGGCACACATGAGGACCGACCCAGGAAAGGAAGACCAAGAGTCACCTCTGCTTCTGAGGATAAGTTCATCCGAGTCACCAGCCTCAGAAATCGCAAGTTAACAGCAGCTCAGATCAGAGACCAGATGAATGCCACACAGAGTTCTAGCAGCAGACCCATCTCTAGAACAACTGTTAAGAGGAGACTGCGCCAATCAGGCCTTCATGGTCAAATAGCTGCTAGGAAACCACTGCTAAGGAGAGGCAACAAGCAGAAGAGATTTGTTTGGGCCAAGAAACACAAGGAATGGACATTAGACCAGTGGAAATCTGTGCTTTGGTCTGATGAGTCCAAATTTGAGATCTTTGGTTCCAACCGCCGTGTCTTTGTGAGACGCAGAAAAGGTGAACGGATGGATTCCACATGCCTGGTTCCCACTGTGAAGCATGGAGGAGGAGGTGTGATGGTGTGGGGGTGTTTTGCTGGTGACACTGTTGGGGATTTATTCAAAATTGAAGGCACACTGAACCAGCATGGCTACCACAGCATCCTGCAGCGACATGCCATCCCATCCGGTTTGCGTTTAGTTGGACGATCATTTATTTTTCAACAGGACAATGACCCCAAACACACCTCCAGGCTGTGTAAGGGCTATTTGACCAAGAAGGAGAGTGATGGAGTGCTGCGGCAGATGACCTGGCCTCCACAGTCACCGGACCTGAACCCAATCGAGATGGTTTGGGGTGAGCTGGACCGCAGAGTGAAGGCAAAGGGGCCAACAAGTGCTAAACACCTCTGGGAACTCCTTCAAGACTGTTGGAAAACCATTTCAGGTGACTACCTCTTGAAGCTCATGGAGAGAATGCCAAGAGTGTGCAAAGCAGTAATCAGAGCAAAGGGTGGCTATTTTGAAGAAACTAGAATATAAAACATGTTTTCAGTTATTTCACCTTTTTTTGTTAAGTACATAACTCCACATGTGTTCATTCATAGTTTTGATGCCTTCAGTGAGAATCTACAATGTAAATAGTCATGAAAATAAAGAAAACGCATTGAATGAGAAGGTGTGTCCAAACTTTTGGCCTGTACTGTACGTTAGGCTGTCACAAACACGAGCTTCTCGTCCATGAGTAGATGTACACTTCCTTGTGTGTGGTGATACGATTGGCAGGTATAGAAAGTAGGTTTGGGTACCGAACTCTGTAATTTTTAAGGGCACCAACTAAATTATGTCGTTACTACAGAGTACCAGTTTACGTTAAATCAATCAGTGCGCACAAAAACAATCCAGATTGAAGCACTACAGGTAAGAGGGAAAACATGCATTTGATTTTGGGGTGAACTGTCCCTTTAAGAACATTGCAAATCTTAAGTCTAGCTAGTGGCCCAATTAGGCTCCAGTGTTCAACACAACCAGCTGAACTCTTTTGTTCTCTCTCTGTCCCTTTTTGTCTTTGTTCTTATTTTCATCCTGTCTATCTTTATTGTCTCTCTTGATCTTTTTCTGTCTGTGTTTTGTGCCTTTTCCAGATTTAGATAAGATGGACAGTGAGAAGGACGAGATGAACCAGACAGACATAGCAGCGCTGCACCACTTCTACTCCAGACACATCAGTGACTTTCCAGACAAACAGGCCCTCACTGAGCTATTTGCACAGGTAAAATTAGATAACACTTAATCCACCCCAACAAGAAATACACTGATTTAAAGGGTGGTTCCATTTTTTCGAAACAACTCTAATAACCCCCCTGGGCCACTTAATGTGCGTCTTCGATACTGAGCCAAGCCTTCTTTGAGAATTATGTATTATTGATCTCCCAGTTTGGAAAAGCAGACAGAAGTAATGAAACAGAAGCTGAGCAATGTACTGCTGTAGCACCACATTTGTTTGGTTGAAAGCTGAATATTAATTAATTAATATTAAAAAGTAAAAGAAGTAGAAAAATGTTTAGTCTAAGCAGAAATGTCCTTGAAGAGCTGGTGAAAGAATGCAGTAGTTAGCAACCGAAAAATGTACAGATAAAAATTATGATGATTTTGATCACAACAGTGTAAATGCTGGATTAGCACATTAGCTGATATTTACATTATTGTTGTCATAATTTCTAACTTTGATATAATAATATCTATAATATGTATTCAATATTTTAATATCGTGTGGAAAAATTGACATTGAGGGCATAAAATTGAATGTTTCTGTAAAAGATGAATATGACAATGAAGACTTTTATTTCCTTGGTTAGTAGCAGAGAATATAAGAATGACTTAACACTAACAATAAGAGAGAGCCAGAAGGAACAGCTGGTACCAGTGTTTCACACTGCAGAAAATAAGTATCAGAACCATTTTAAATATTCAGAATTGATATGTATTGACAAATCAATATTTTAGACAACACTAATATACATTATAAATACATTATTATATCAAATCTCAATGTTTTTCTGCCTATTTCTTCTGGCGTTGGGTGTTGCCATTTGAAAAACTCATAAAAGAGCACAGATGGAGTCGGCCTTTAAAAGAACCTTGAGTTCCTGAAATGATCCAGGATTTGGGTTGGGTGTGTTTTATTACTGTCGTGTGATTTGTTAGGAGAGCATCACATGTTTTTGCTGACACATAGGCAGCTGTTAACCTTTCTCGCTGCTGAATACCAACATACACAAAAGATTAAGACACGTGCAAATATAGTGTGTTTACATGTGCGCTCTACTTGTACTCATACATGCTTAATCCTTGTGCTCACACACCTTTTATATCTTCCTCCCCTCACATTGTCCTTTTCTTGTTAGCGAATACACACTGAAGCACATGTTGAGGTGAAACCAGGATTTGTATCATACATAGACACAGGTCCTGTCTGTTAAACTCGACAGCGGTTAGCTTTAATTTGATCCGTCTGTCAGTGCTGCTGTCTCCTTCTTACTCCAAGCTACACAGACAGCCTCTTTGGCCTCTTATTTCACAGCTACATTTAATCTCTACTACAGGGTTTCCTCCTCCTCAGTGGAGGGGGTGTTACAGCACATGTGAGTCGAGGGTGATGCAAGTTGTTTTATCATACTACTCACCCTGCTGTTCTCTGTCTCCACCTGTTTGTTGGTGTCTTCACATCTTTCTTTTCTGTCTTTGTGTCTCTAGGTTAACTGTAATGGTTTCACCATAGAGGACGAGGAGCTCTCCCATTTGGGATCAGCTGTTTTTCCTGAGTAAGCAGGCTGTGTCAATACTTCATCATCATTTAACAATCCATCCATTTGTCAGTGTATTTCACTCTACCACTTAAGTTGGAAAGGACAGTGTTTGTCAGCATGTTACAAATGAAGTCAAATGATCTTTTCCTGCTTCTTTCTGCACTCCGTCTCCTTACATGTGAACTCAGTCTCCACCTCAGTGCCCTTCCTTTCCTACTCTCTCATTGTTGTGCAGTTTCAATCTGTGTATGTCTCAGCTGCTCCTGATTCACTCAGTTATATTAGTTTTTATGCCTTTGCGCCGGCATCAGCCAGAGACAATATGTTTTTGGGTTGTCCATATGTACATCACATTCTTTTGAATGCGATACCTCAAGATCACCTTGAGCTTCTTTGCAACAACATCCATATTTGAAGCATTTTCTACTGTCATAGTTCCAATTTTCTGTTCTCTCCCGTTCCTCTGTTAGTTCACCATGAGGTCACTCGTGTTCACGTGATTGTCGTTGCGCCATGTGACGAAGCTCTATATCAGTCCTCTGTAAAAATAGTCTCTGAGGGAAGACAGCATGTTTCTCACTGGAAATTAATCACTAGATGTCAATGTAGTGATGAGTCTCATTTCATCAAATATACTCTTAATACAGTTTATTTAATTCTGTTAAAGTCTTCACTACATACATTATTTACGTCTGAACAGACAGATGTAAACTGCAACTTGACTAGTTGGTGGAGGCATACATATATACATATACCACAATGTAATCCCAACATCATGAAGCTGTTAAATGTGATAATTTGATCACAACTCTCTGATTTCATAATCATTTTTTAACCTCTATGCCTCTCCTCCTTTTTGTCCTTGTAGTGTAGCACTGATGAATCATAGCTGTAGTCCTAATGTCATAGTGACCTATAAAGGCACAGTGGCTGAGGTCAGAGCTGTTCAAGAGATAAACCCTGGAGACGAGGTGAGTAAACACTGCACTCATCTAGCAAACCCCCATAGTTCTTAGTGACAGCAGCTGTTAAAGACCACAGGCAATCATGAAGAAATACAGACTCTTATTACAGTCTTTGTTTTGACTGACTCAGGATTTTGTTTTCATCTCTTCCTCTCTCCCTTTGTAGGTCTTTAACAGCTACATAGACCTGCTCTATCCAACAGAGGACAGGAAAGAGAGGTTGTTAGATTCCTACTTCTTCGCATGCCAGTGTACTGAGTGCACCACCAAGTCCAAGGTACCATTACTTTATTAAGTTTTTCATATTTGTACAAAAGCCCTTTTGCACGCTCACTGATGACTGGTGTGAACGTCGAGACACACATTTCCAGCAGCAGCCTCAGAACAGTGACAGACAGTTCAGTTAAGCTCTGCAGAGACCATTAACCCCTTTTAACGTCTCCCTCAGGATTTGTGTGCATGAGTGAGTAAAGTGAAAATCAGCTCAGCAAGTTTATTTTATGTTAACATGCATACTTGACAGTGTCTCAGAGGTAGAGCGGTTCCACTAATTGGAAGTTCAGCTGTTTGATCCCCGGCTCCTCTAGCCTGCATACCGAAGTATCCTTGAGCAAGTTACTGAGCCCCAATTTGCTCCTGGTGGCTGTTTCATCGGTGTCAGTGTGTTAAATGCTGAGTAGCAGATGGCACTTTGTATAGTAGCCTCAGTATGAATGTGTGTGTGAATGGGTGAATGTGACTCATAGTGTGAAAGCGCTTTGAGTGGTTGAAAGTCTAGAAAGGCACTATTCAAGTGCAGGTTTTTTTTCCAGTTTGAGTTCATAAAATGATTGCTGAGTCAAGAGATAGGCTAGCCAAAATTTATGATTGTAAATTTTTGGCTTGGGCAAACTATTTTTCTTACCTTTATATCTTTCCTATATTTCACTGGGGTTTAAAGTACATGAAGATATTTGTGTAAAAAAAAAAAAAAAAAAATCATAAGCTGAGGTACTGGTGATAGAAGTCATTGTAGCATGTACAGTACAGGCCAAAAGTTTGGACACACCTTCTCATTCAATGCGTTTTCTTTATTTTCATGACTATTTACATTGTAGATTCTCACTGAAGGCATCAAAACTATGAATGAACACATGTGGAGTTATGTACTTAACAAAAAAAGGTGAAATAACTGAAAACATGTTTTATATTCTAGTTTCTTCAAAATAGCCACCCTTTGCTCTGATTACTGCTTTGCACACTCTTGGCATTCTCTCCATGAGCTTCAAGAGGTAGTCACCTGAAATGGTTTTCCAACAGTCTTGAAGGAGTTCCCAGAGGTGTTTAGCACTTGTTGGCCCCTTTGCCTTCACTCTGCGGTCCAGCTCACCCCAAACCATCTCGATTGGGTTCAGGTCCGGTGACTGTGGAGGCCAGGTCATCTGCCGCAGCACTCCATCACTCTCCTTCTTGGTCAAATAGCCCTTACACAGCCTGGAGGTGTGTTTGGGGTCATTGTCCTGTTGAAAAATAAATGATCGTCCAACTAAACGCAAACCGGATGGGATGGCATGTCGCTGCAGGATGCTGTGGTAGCCATGCTGGTTCAGTGTGCCTTCAATTTTGAATAAATCCCCAACAGTGTCACCAGCAAAACACCCCCACACCATCACACCTCCTCCTCCATGCTTCACAGTGGGAACCAGGCATGTGGAATCCATCCGTTCACCTTTTCTGCGTCTCACAAAGACACGGCGGTTGGAACCAAAGATCTCAAATTTGGACTCATCAGACCAAAGCACAGATTTCCACTGGTCTAATGTCCATTCCTTGTGTTTCTTGGCCCAAACAAATCTCTTCTGCTTGTTGCCTCTCCTTAGCAGTGGTTTCCTAGCAGCTATTTGACCATGAAGGCCTGATTGGCGCAGTCTCCTCTTAACAGTTGTTCTAGAGATGGGTCTGCTGCTAGAACTCTGTGTGGCATTCATCTGGTCTCTGATCTGAGCTGCTGTTAACTTGCGATTTCTGAGGCTGGTGACTCGGATGAACTTATCCTCAGAAGCAGAGGTGACTCTTGGTCTTCCTTTCCTGGGTCGGTCCTCATGTGTGCCAGTTTCGTTGTAGCGCTTGATGGTTTTTGCGACTCCACTTGGGGACACATTTAAAGTTTTTGCAATTTTCCGGACTGACTGACCTTCATTTCTTAAAGTAATGATGGCCACTCGTTTTTCTTTAGTTAGCTGATTGGTTCTTGCCATAATATGAATTTTAACAGTTGTCCAATAGGGCTGTCGGCTGTGTATTAACCTGACTTCTGCACAACACAACTGATGGTCCCAACCCCATTGATAAAGCAAGAAATTCCACTAATTAACCCTGATAAGGCACACCTGTGAAGTGGAAACCATTTCAGGTGACTACCTCTTGAAGCTCATGGAGAGAATGCCAAGAGTGTGCAAAGCAGTAATCAGAGCAAAGGGTGGCTATTTTGAAGAAACTAGAATATAAAACATGTTTTCAGTTATTTCACCTTTTTTTGTTAAGTACATAACTCCACATGTGTTCATTCATAGTTTTGATGCCTTCAGTGAGAATCTACAATGTAAATAGTCATGAAAATAAAGAAAACGCATTGAATGAGAAGGTGTGTCCAAACTTTTGGCCTGTATTGTATGTCATTGTCTAGTCTACAAAGCTGTGTTTCTAATATGCAATTAGCTTACTTAGACATGTTTTTCTGTCTTTAAATACCTGTGACCCAAAGAATAAATAAATAGATAGGAAATAAGCATCCTTTTTGCTGGAAGACCTGATGACACTTGTTGCCGCAGCGGATACCGAAACATCAGTGGGCTGAATAGGGATTATGTGGGTAATAAACTGTTTTGTAGTTGGAAGAAGTTATCTTAGGATAAAGTTGTATGTGGCAATACTCCAAAGCAGAGGCAGATGCATTTCTGGATTAAACCCCACCACTCATTTCTTCAGTTTCCTGTTCCACAATAGAGACTGACCTCTGGTGGCATGTACTTTGTACTACATCTCCTCAATACAGCATCTCTGTATCAATTTAATAGAAAGAAGAGCTTCTGTTCGGAATTTCTTAATAACCCGTTACACCCTTATATCTTGGTACTGTCCGGGCCTAGTAAATTCATACATTTGGAAAATTAAATATATTTTTCTTTTGTTAATTTTCAAAACCACATACATTCACTGTTGTAATTTCCCTGCACTGGTGATTAAAGTATCCTGTCAGAACCGATTTTTTGACTGGCATCATTTAATTCATTATTGTCCAAGCCAAATCAGCATGTCCTGAAGTCCCCATCCTCACAAAAATTCTGACTTAATATACAGAATGCAGAACATTTTTGCATTGTTGACCAGAGGAATTTCCTAGAAAGTGTCTCACGTGCCTCAGTTTCTGCTGTCTGCTGGAGAGAGAGCAGGTTCATGCCTTGTTCATGTCCTCACTGGTCTTGTAAAAGAGTCTGCCTGTCTTTGAATTTGTATTATACACTGTGAAGAAAAGTGAGATGCTGCATCCCAGTTCTATACGACATACTATTATGTACATCATATGCACTTCATATTTACCAAAGGCTATGGAAGGTTGATGCTTTTAATTCAGTCCCAGCCAAGGACTGAAATGTGTCACCCTGGTGATTTGGATGAGTTTGAGAATGAAATATAATTTAGCTCTACTGTCCACATCTGCCGAACACGGGAACATAATTTCTCTGCATCTCTTTCTAGGACAAAGCAAAAATGGAGATCAGGAAGCTGAGTTCTCCACCAGAACCAGAGGAAATCCAGTCCATGGTCAGTTATGCCAAGAATGTCATCGAGGAGTTCAGGAGAGCAAAACACTACAAGAATATCCTTTCCTCTGTTTATAGCTGTATTTCTCTTTCCCACATTTTTTTTCACTCTCCTGTTTGTTTTTCTCTCTGAAGTCTTTTCCCTCTCAGCATGTCAGTTTATCTTCTGTCTTTATCGAGCACAGTCTTTCACTTGCCAGCCTTGTCATCCCTCTCCACATTGTGTGTTTCATCATTCCTTGACTCTCTGGCACCCCCCAGTGAGCTGCTGGAGATGTGTGAGCTCAGCCTGGAGAAGATGGGAGCTATATTTGCAGACACAAACGTCTACATGCTGCACATGATGTATCAGGCCATGGGTGTCTGTCTCTACATGCAGGACTGGGACGGAGCTATGAGCTACGGAGAGAAGATCATTCAGCCATACAGGTAAACTGATCTGTGAGGCCTCTGCAGGGAGGCAGTAATGCAGTGAAGTCAGTCAGTTGTACCAGCAGCACTGCTGTCAGTCTCAGTCCACATGCAGATAATAAAGCCCTGTAGAAAAAGTCACCCCAGTTGTGTAATGAGATTTTCTCCAGACCTCTGAGTTTGTCAAGACAAAGTTCTTGTAAGAATGAGGATTTCAATCCCTCTTTTAGTCTTTTAATCATTTGCTTTTTATCTGTGCTTTGCAGCTCAGAATCATCCCATTAATGTTTTATTGACTTATAATTTACTTTCCCATGAAATGTTCTTTGTCCCACCCACAATATATGCACAACAACACATGTTATATTGTGTTCCTTTTGTTCACACTCAGCATATTTTCCCTCTGTGGTTAACAACACACATATCTACCACATCTTTTATCTTTTATTGTTGTTCTCTCTCGGCTTTATATGTTTTAAACTTTTGTAGCACTACAACAAAACCCATTGTAACATTAATTATAGACAGTATCTTGTTTCCTCTTGTATTCACTGCTCAGCTTGATGTATAAATTATATTCTCTCTGCAGTGTTCACTACCCGGCCTATTCTCTGAATGTGGCGTCTATGTATCTGAAACTGGGACGTCTCTATTTGGGGCTGGAGAAAAAGAAACAAGGAGTCAGAGCTCTGAAGAAGGCATGTTTACATATTAATAAGTGGCAAAGTGAGTGGATGCTGTGTCCTTGAGTTATTTTAAAATGTTTTTTTGTCTTTCTCCAGGCGGTTGCCATCATGGAGGTGGCTCATGGGAAGGATCACCATTATGTAGCGGAAGTCAAACGAGAAATCCAGGAGCAGAAGTAAACAAGGAGGATCCTCTCTGAAAGCAGCAAACACACATCACAACTGCATGCCGTGCATCTTATACCTCTCCTTTCCTCGTCGCCCACTCTCTTGTTTTTCATGCCTTTTTGTAGGCGGGGTTTCTTTTTTACTGTCAACATATTCTGGCTGAGGATGACCATGTTTTGTACCTGCAGCTCTCTACTGCCCGTCAGACCTGGAGTTTAAAACAGACGAATTAGGGTTAAAATGTTTTGAATGAAAAAAGTGACTGAAATACTGTGTGCTGAAGCTCATTACACACATCCAACACCCATACTGTAACACACGAAGGATCACTCAGTGGACAAACTGTAAGACTGCCTTTAAAGCTGTCTTTCAGGGGAAACAAAGCTTTCATATAGCGGCTATAGAACTCCATTTTCTGATGTGAAATGTCCAGTTTTTCTGTCTTTGTGAGTCTGAAATCACTCACTGTGTTCTGTAGATCCATCAGCAGACAGTTTCAGCACCATTTACGTCTTTGACAGCAGTTTTAGTCACACAGTTGTGCTCTACAAGAGTTGTTTAAGGATTAGGACTTCTGTACAAACTAGTTCGTAGTTGTTATGAAGGGCATTACTACTTATTCCCAGCCAATGTATTTTATTCTATCAGAGTTTTGGGCTTCAGTGTTTTTTGTTTAAACTGTGAAAAAATAATGACTGACCATGCATCAGGTACTCTGTAGCAAAGGAGAGGAGATGCAAAGATCTATTCCTGAATGAATACCCAGTGGTTTGGCTTGTCTTACAGTATGTTGTGCTCGTTTTAAAGAACCAGAAAAGTGTTGCATGTTTTATTGTTTATGTTGTGTGTTGTTGTTTTTTTCATACGAGGCTTGTTGACCAAAGCGGCCACAGGTTTAATTGACAAGGAACCAGCTTCAATTCTCTATTCACAGTGTATATCTAAAGAGGGGCGGTGATCTGAGGTCAGGTTGCTTTTTATGTCACAGTAGAGACATTGGTTCTATGACCTGACCAATGACCCTGGATCGGAGCCCTCGTTGCTCTCAGGAAAAAAGGCGCAACTCTGTAGCTTTTGTTGCCTTTTGTCAAGAGATGCATTATTTTACCTTTTTTAGTGTTTTCTCAAAAGCTTTGTGAATCCGGATTGTCATTGCCTGGGAAATGAAATCACTTTAGCAGCAGTGGGCAGAATATTAGCATGCATTATAACTTTGTAGAATATACATTTTACATGCACGTGATGAAGGAGGAATATCATCCTCACCGTTCACTTGTACAGTTTCAGTGTGTAGGATTTGGATTAGTGGCATCCAGCAGATGCAGAGCTGAAACTTCTCCTGTGTACAGGAGAACTATGGTGGCTGACATGAAAACGCAAATGGCCCCATCTAGAGCCAGTGTTTGATTTTTCTGTTCTGGGCTACTGTAGAACATGGCGGAGGACTTACTCCATATGTAGATATAAATGACTCATTCTAAGGTAACAAAACACAATGATTCTTAATTTCAGGTGATTGTAAAGTAATGAAAACATAGTTCTCAATATTTCTGCCAATAGATGCCCCTAAATGCTACACACGGGACCTTTAATTTTATAATCAAAAAGAGTGACTGAAATATTTTTTTAAAAAGGGAATTGCATCTCCCTTTAATCTCTGCTTTAGTGCAGTGTTCATTTTGCACTCTATAAGCTAAAGAGACGGAGACGATTTAAACCACAACACATAAACTGTACCAACATGGCAACTTTTCAAGGCAGTATTACCTTGACTACACAAATCTCATAAAATCTATGTCAGAAATTGAGTTGACAACAAGTGTTGCCTGTGTGTGATGGTTTTAAATGACCCTGACCCTAAAATTATGAGAAGGAACAGTTGCAGGTCCTAAAAGTGTAGTTTTCTCTGCTGTAGACTGAATCATTATATAAAAATAAGACTTAGCATGCCGTGTGTGAAGGAGGCTTTAAAAAGATGAGGCAATGCCAAGAGTATCACCTGGGCCTTATTTAAGGGTTCTTGTTGCACTTGAATTTTGTACAATTTTTGTGACAAAATGATGTCAAAAAGGCAAACCTGTAAGCACATATTATTTCCTTTGTATCAGTTTCTGTTAGTGGACAGTTGGCCTGCCTGCAGTCTTAATGCCGTGCACCGCCAGAGGAGCTACAGTCACAGATCTAATTCCTTTATTCTTTTTAACACCTGTAGCTTCTCCTTGTTTACTACGGATGCACATTCATGCTCCACATGAATGTGGGTTACTGAGGGTTAGAAATAGCATTGTTATGAGTTGCCTGTGGTCATATTTGTAGCAACTCCTGCAGTGGAGACTCTTTCTGTTACCTGCAAAGATGCATCTAGAAGGTGCCTGCCTTACAGTCCTGCATAGGTAATCCAAAAGCACCATTTCAACAACTTTGTTCCACCTTTTTTTCTTTTTTACAAAGGATGGACATTGAAAAGAGGGTTTTCAGGCTGTTTAGCACAAGCCACCCAAACCCTCTGTTTGCCAGATTTGAGGACATCATTTTATCTCTGGCTGGACTCTCAGAACATGCATATGATTTGTTTTCCTTTCTTTGTGATGTCATGATAAAAAAAAAAACCTGACACGAGCTTTAAAACAGTAAAACCCATACTCATGCTGCACGTATAAAACCAGATGAAAGGCCACCCAGATGTTTTCTGCTGTTTCTGTATTGAGCTGTTACTTTACCAGGCATGAATGTTATTCTACTGGAATGCATAACTAAAATCTGAGCCTCTGATTCATTCTGCACCATGTCAGTGGAACTCAATAAATGGCAGTATGGCACTTGCTTTGATAAATATACTCATTTTATTTTTTTTTATCGAATCCCTTATTCAATCAGTAAGTCTCTTGAGATACATTTTACCCTTTACAAGAGAGGTTTGAACAAAATGGCAGTGTAAGGTGGATATCACAAGCTTCTCGGTGCTATTGTCATGGGTACATATTTGACCCTTAAAGCCTCACCACTGTTTCTGTTTCAGAGATATTCCATTGTTGTTTGTGGTACGCTTCTTTGAGTCAACCCAGTCAAAGGTGTGCTCTAGGTCTAAACCTAGAAACAGCAGTTGTATAGGTGAATAGACTACAGTCAGTTTAGTAGACATCATAACCTCCTGCCTCTCTACAATCAGTTGATTCGATTATAAAGCATCTGTAAAATGATTTAACTCCAGGGAACTGTTACTGTCACCAGGTAGCTGTACTGCTACACTGTAAGTACTGTGTCATCGTACCAGGCAGACCATTTTGTGAGGTAATTAAAAGGATAACCCTTTTCATTAGTCAGCCGTGCAAATTTTATGTATCTTCAAGGTGAGGCTCTTGAATATTTTAGCTCCAATATGAAATGCAGTCTCACGTCTCATGAACTTGTCGTCCCAACGTAAAGTTTGTTTAAACTCTGACCACATCCTATAATGCAGGAAGTAACGAGTAGGTGAGTAAGAGTTGGCATTTCAAATTATGTCTCTCTGTGGATGACATCTTCCTAACCTAGGGGTGTCAAACTACAGCCCACTGGCAGTCCACCAAAGGGTCTAGTCCAGCCCACTGGATGACTTTACACATCTAATATTGATTCACTTGTAAAGGATAAGAGGTGCCAGGTTTCAGAGACAAGCTAAACAGTGATGAGCCTACTTCATTTAAAATGTCAGTTTAGAGGCTTTTCCACCCTGACTAGAATACAGTTCTCTAAAAAAACAATACATCAGCTACTTAGTGTGGTCATATTTATAGAAATTGCACATTGTGCAAATATATTGACATTCAGCAGCTTCAGCACAAAAAAAAATCTGTATCAGACTTATATATTAAGACTATGGTGGAACCCTATTGTTAAGGCACTGCCAAAGCTATAGATTTGTAAATGATTTGTAAAGCACAGTGTAAGTTAAGATGCTTCCTTTATATATTCCACTGTAGTTTGGTGTGGTGATGCCATCATTACTACACAGCAGTGGAAATGTATGGAAATAAAAAAACAAACATTATTTTTTTATTTTATTTTATTTTATTTTATTTTATTTTATTTGCTAAACCAGATCGTGTTTTGTATACTCCAATACGCTGGGTGGCGGTATGCACCTAAAAGCTGGTATTGCAATCCGCCATAGCACCCACAGAAGAAAAAGAGGAACTTGACTGACGTCACACACTAGCCAATGGGCATGCAGCTGCGTGGAGTTTGAATTTTCCAACGAGAACAACCCAAACAGTCCGAGAACGATAAAGACACCTCGCGCCCAAAGTAAGTACAGCTCTCTTTAATTTTAACTTTTGTATTATTAATTTGAGAGAAAACTAAAGTTAACACATGTGTCAGTTCACAACACATTTATCATCTCCAACCGTTAACTGGTCGAACTTTGCGTAAAATTTACTGTTTGTCAAAACCACGATGAGCCCCGTGACGTTAACGTTAACGCTAATATTAGGATATTAGGAATAACGTTAGTTCAACAGAAACAGTTGTTGTTAACGTAGCGTTTCAAATTGACGCTAAATTGAGTTCGTTATGCTAAATTCACAATGGTTGGTTTGTATCGTTGGTTAAAGATAACGCTTTGATATAACGTTAACCAATGACGGTGGCTAACGTTAGCATACTTAGTCTCAAAGTAAACGTTAACGTTACTGTTATGTATGTTTTTACAAATAAAGTGTCGGTGTTATGCATCAACACCAGGCTTAGGAAGCCAAACAGTGTTTTTGTTATTTCTAGTAACGTTAATCAATTACAAATTCACCTGTGTCTAATAACCAAGGTTTTTTGGCATTAAAACTATAGAAAATGTGATTTACCTCTGAATTCTCTCAGGCCATTGTTGTACTCTTGTTAGGACAAAAACATTGGTTGTCATCATATGTTTTATACTTCATGTTATCACACTAACGTTACTCATTGGTCATATAGGTGTCATTAACAAGCTGCTCAGGCACTGTGCAGAGCAATATTGTGTTTCCCCCTTCAAATAAACTGATGTGTGTGTAGTCAGGTTATAGACCATGAGCTGGGCGGTGGAGGAGTGGAAGGATGGACTTCCAGGGAAAGCCCTGCAGAAGATCCAGGAGATGGAAAGCCAGCTGGACAAACTGAAGAAGGACAGGAACCAGAAACAGTTTCAGCTGGATTCCCTGGAGGCTGCCCTGCAGAAACAGAAACAGAAGGTCAGTGTTCAAGAGGAACAGATGAGTGGACTGAACATAGGTTAATTGTGCAGATGATTCAAACAGCATTTAATGCCTTGGGGAAATTACTGTTGCAGAGTAAGATAAGATAATCCTTTATTTGCCCCACAGCAGAAATGTGCACATTACAACAGCAGAGGGATAGTGCAAACAGGAAGCATCAGTAGAAAAAAAGTACAAAACAATATATAAGTATGTAAAATAAGTAAACTGTACAACACAAAGCAATATAATATGTAAGCATCAAAAAGAAGCAGAATGTAATACAGAGACAGACTGAATGGCTGATTTGACACTATTGACTGATGGATGTCTAGATATTGCACAATTAACATGTCCTAACAGTAGTGGAAATTGTACCTGAAAAAAATACAGACACACAAAAGATTTGGGGGGGGGGGGGTATCCCTCAAACCAACAGTGCTCATGGAAGTGAATGCCTTTTTTGAGCAATAAGTCTTCCTCTCTGTTTTTGACAAACAATTTTTTAATCCTCCTTGTTTCTCCCTCTCCAGGCGGACAGTGAACGTAATGAGACCTCTGCTTTGAAAAGAGAGAACCAGTCTTTAGTAGAGTCCTGTGATTCTCTGGAGAAAGCTCGTCAAAAGGCTGTCCATGACCTCGGAGTCAAAGAGCAGCAGGTCAGTTACGTATGAGAGAAAGAAAGAAATATCTGCTGCAGTTTATTGCTATTCAGTAATTAGATCACTGATAATCAACAGCCAGTATTCAAATTCTATAGATACTCTTGAAGCCAACAAATGATGTATTTATAAAATCAGATGTATTGGAAGAAAAAAACATATCTAATTCCTGTTTCTGAACCCAGGTGAACTACCTGGATGGTCAGCTGAATTCCTGCAGGAAGACCATAGAGCGACTGGAGCAGGAGCTCAAGAAGTGAGTTCAGTGTCTGTTGATATGCATTTTTATGTAAGAAGAGAGGGAGACTTTATAATGTAGCTCCTGTGACATGTTGCTTCGTCAAGTCCTGAGTTAGTCATGCTTAATATGAATGGATTATGAACTATTTGACTTGTTGGACAGCACTGAAATTATGACTCCTGAATGACTGTTAATGCTTGTTTTGTTGTCTTTCCATCTGCTCAGGTACAAAAATGAACTGGATCGTTCGCAGCCTGCTGGCTCTTCCTCTTTGTCATCCTCCTCCTCTGACCTTCAACCCTACAATACTCCACAGAAAACTTTTGCTACCCCAGC